GCTTTCACTGTTAGCTGAACCACCTTGCTGTGAAAATTACCTCCCCCTTCCTCTACCCCTCACTATGCACCCACATTTTTGACTTATGTTTCTCACCATATTTACCTATGAAGTTTCACCCTTCTAATTGGACAGTAAATCTACTATAGTAACAGGCAATGACCGTTAGCAGATGAATTAGATGAAATTGTATGACGTCAATACATTCTGCCCTATTTGTGATCTTCGCCTTGTTCAGATTTCTTCCGAGAAAACAATGTTTCAATTCTTAAGTTGTTTTTTTCTGCTGTTTACTCTTTTATTTACATTTACCGGCAACGCCACTCTTTTGCAATTTTTCTGCTGAACCAATGTATTACATAGATTCCCTGCACCAAAAGGGAGTTCAAAGGCATTTAGCTACATTTCCCTTAATAAACCTGACCTGACCTGACCGAATTCATTTTCGAGGGAACAATCGCCACAAAAAATTTCAAAGGACAAAAAGTATGGGAATGTTATAGATTGACATCTGTGGGTAATTGCGAAAATCCCTGCTTTGACGAAACATGCGTTCGGGATTGTTGCCACTGGGGATGGTTTTAATCATTTTAACATTAGCAAAAGCAGCTTAGGTAGTGCGCCTCATTAATCCTTAGTCCCGGCATTTTGTTCTACGGCAACGGTGATTATAGGAGCTTTGGGGGTTTGGAAATAGCATAGGCAAGGAAGGAAATTTCTAGAAGTGTTCAGTGAAAAAAATTTATTCGAATTTATTTCCCGCGGCCACTGGGAGTAAGTTGTTCTGCATGTGAATTGGAGGTGTGCGCGGCGCGTCTCTTCACGACGCGGACTTTACTAATCTAACTCCAGATAGGTAAGTTTCAACTCAGGTAAGTTGAAGTAGACGACCTTCCAGCCACCATTTCTTTTTTCCTCAGAAATTTCAAGAAACCTGCAACTTAATAATCGGGTTTTTCCGCAATCCGTTAAACGGTAATACGGATTAGAAAAATTTACAGATATATAGGAACAACATTTCTTAATACAATAAAAAATGCATATAGCAGTTATTAAAATATATCCCACTGCCTATCCTAATTCCCCACCCATAAAACCCTATAAACACCGTTTTCGTAGGACAAAATACTCGGACTAAGAATTAATGAGGTGTATTACATAGACTACTGTTGCCTTAAAATTTTGGAGCAGTCAAAGAACAGATTCTTAATCAGCATGCCAAGTCTTTTTTCGAAAGCGACCAGCTTACTTTCAAGTTTTCAATCTGCCCTTTCAGTCGATTGGTGAGCTTTTCACCGGCTAGTGAACAGGATCGCATGGCCTGACCGATCTCGCTCTTGGACTCATTGATATGATCTTGAAGACCGATCTTCAGTTCAGCCGTCTGCCTCCGCACAGAGGAGACCTCCTTCCACAGGCCGATGAGTCGATCATGCTGCTTGGACATGAGTTCATTCATGGAGGCCTCATCCTCCTGCCATTGGGCTGCTCGACGATCGCAGGAATGCTGCATTTCCAACAGCTCGTCATGCAGTTTGGCATTCTCGGAGGCGAGGAACTTATTCTGCACTTGCGCCTGATCCATCTGGTCTCGCAGCATCCCGTTCACCGTAGACAGTGTGCTGGCTCTTTTGCACAACAAAAGATGGAAATTTTAGTTTTGAGGTAGTAGTTTTAAGTAGTTTGAGCATTATTCCTGCTGCAGTGACTGAGACTGTCCTACTATACCTACCTGACAGTGTACTGTCATACTACTACGACAGTTACTGTAGTCGGCCTAAATGTAGTCTATAAGCGGCAAACTGCTCGACAAAAGGGTATGGTAGGACTTGTGCATCACTTTACAAACACTATTATTATCGTGCAAATGCTAATTACTATTACCTCACAGAGATTGGGAGTGCATACTGGGTGGGACCTCTTAAAAAGCACACACTGGCAGTATTTTTAGCATAATATCTACTGGCCTTAGTAAGCATGCTTAATAGAAATTAGCACTTTTAGCATAGGCACGTACCTTTGGAATCAGTATCTTAGTCCGAACAGCTCGATGGATAGAGTTGAGAGTGCGGAAACCAAGGCAATCACTCTTGGCCCCAAGCATGTACTTACTCGAAATAGTTTAAACCCAGAATCACACTTTTTGTTGAAACCAAAGTGGGTAGGAGCCCCTAGCGTTGGCTTAATCAGCGTCACCTCTGACAAATGGTGGCGTCAGTGCTAGCACCAGTACTACTGCACCTTTTGTTGAGATTGAGGGGATATGAGCCCAGTACTGAAATTAATCAGCGTCACTTCTGACTTACAAAACAGTCAGTAATAGTACCAGTAAATACTATCACTCAGCCACACTCCAGTTAGAAGCATTAGAAATAGCAGTTGTGGTAGTAGCAGTACCAGTCCTGGCTTACCGGAGTCTGGCTAGACACCTACTATAGGTGAGTGGGGGTAGACACTGCAGTATGATTCGCGCAAAGTCTACTGTCACTAAA